ACCTCCATTATCTCAGCCACTCAACCTCCATTACCTCAGCCACTCACACCTCCATTACCTCAGCCACTCACACCCCCATTACTTCAGCCACTCACACCCCCACTACCTCAGCCACTCACACCTCTATTACCTCAGCCACTCACACCTCCATTACCTCAGCCACTCACACCTCCATTACCTCAGCCACTCACTCCATTACCTCAGCCATTCACACCCCCATTACCCACCATTTAACTTGTTCTTGTGATAGAACATTTTCAGATTCAGCATGAGTGAGATGGTGGGTGTTTGTCTTTTTGTTAAGATTAATTATTTTTATTCTAAGTTCTGTATGGGATTATACGTACATGAGCACAGGTGCCCTCGGAGACCAGATGTAAAAGATCCACTGGAGCTGGAGTTACAGGCATTGTGAACTGTCAGGGAACTGAACTCCGGACCTCTGGAAAAGCCATCCCAGCTCTTAGCCTCTGAGCCATCTCTCCAGCCCCACCATTTGTCTTTGTGTCTTTAGCTTATTTCCCTTGTGTTCCTCCATGTTCACCCATGTAGTAAATGGTAGGATATTGTTGCACTGTGTCCGTGAACCTCATTCTGGATTTGCTTTGTCCATTCATCCTTTGATAGGATGGTATATCACAGATGTGTAAATTATTCTGGAATAAATGTGAGAGTGTAAATGTCTCTTTGAGGTACTGATTTATTTCCCTTGTATGTCCTTACTCAGTAGCGGGATTGATGGATCATGTGACAGCTCTATTTAATTGTTTGAGAATCCACGGTATTGTTTCTAATGATGACTGTATTAATTTACATTTCCTCCAGTAATGTGCATTTTTCCTCCTCATTGTACTCATTATGCTTTCTTGCTGATAATGGTCGCTTTAAAAAATTTATTTAGTTCATTTTCTTTAATATTTGTGAGTGTTTTGCCTAAATGAATATATTTGCACCTTGTCCGTGCCTGGTACCTGAGGAGGCCAGAAGAGGGTGTCAAATCCCCTGAAATTGGAGTTAAGGTTGGTTGTGAGCTACCATGTGGGTGTTGGAAAATGAACCTACATCCTCTGCAAGAGTATTAAGTACTCTAAACCACTGGGCCATCTATCTCTCTAGCTGCCCCACCCCCATCCTGTAATTGACACTCTGATCAAGCATGAGGAGGCTTCTCATTGTGATTTTAATGTGTATCTCTCTGATGCTTAATTTTCATGTACCTCTAATAGGCCACATTGATGTTCCGTGTGGGAAAATGTCTATTTCCGTGTTCTCCTGTTTCTGAATTTTCTGCGTCCTTTGCTGTGAAGGAGTTTAGATGTTAACTCCTTGTCAGAGGTACAGTTTGCAAATATTCTCTCCCATGCCCTACATTATCCCTCTTCTCCTGATTGTTTCTTCTGCTGTGTAAAGTTTTTAGTTTGATTTGTCCATTTTCCTTTTGTTACTTGTGTTTTTACAGTGTGACTGAAGGTCTAATGTCATTCTCCTGAATGTTAATATTCAGTTTTGCCAGCATCACTGACTAGAGAGGCTATTCTGGAACTCATGTTGACTTTGAAGAAGCCTCATGCCTCTGCCTCTCCAATGCTGGCAACATAGACCTATGCTATATTAGATGCAGCAGACTAATTACACTTTTATCTATGGCCTTCAGGATCACAAGCTTCATGAAACAAAGGCAGTCATAAATGTCATGAGGTCACACCCTGAACCATCACAGACATGTATAAATGTGGGCTGGGGTGATGGCTCAGTGGGTACAGTGCTTGCAAGCGTGAAACTATGCAATGCCAGATGCAGCAGTGCATGTCTCTAATCCCAGCCCTCCTACTGCAAGATGGGAGGGGGAGACAAGAGAATTCCTGGAAGGCTAGCTAGCCTGCTGTATCCAGAGTCAAGAGGGAAGGAAAGATAAAGAAAGAATATTTGTATATGAATTTTGTGGGGAGACAAAAATGTATAGTTTCCTAAGATTATCAGATATACTTGAGAGTTAGGCATGGTGGTGCATGCGTGTAATCTCATAATCTTCATAAAGAATATAATTTAATTGATACAATGGAAGCCATAATCATATCTGAGGGAAAGCACTCAGGAAAGTGTTCCATGGTGTACTATCCTATTCACTCAAAGTGGGTCCGGGATGCTGAACGCTGCCTGAGGATTGCAGCTGCAGACCCTCCAGCCAAGCTTGCTGTGCCTCACTCAGCCCTGAGTTTTCAAAGGAGTTACAGTTTGGATGCTGTTACCCCTGTCAGCCCTGAAAGATGGGATTCCAGTAGGAAGAGCTGCTTACAGTAGAAGGAGGGGCCCAGTCTAGGGCTAGCTGGATCTCAGGATGGAAGATGGGATCCCTTCTGCTGGCATCTTCTGGAGGAACTAAAGACAGTCATGCTTATGCTCTGCACATCCACACTGAGCCCTCATGCAATGCATTGTCTGGGGTTAGGACAGAATCGTCTTTGTGTAGACTCCTGTCTGCTTCTAATTTGTGTGGGGGAGGCTATGAGCAGTGGGAGAGGAGTGTGTGTGGGGGGATGTTTGAGATATAAAAGTAGTCGATGAAATCATGCTGACCTAAGTCAGTCTGGGAACATCAAGTCACAATCCACTGAAAGGCTTTCTTTTTGTCCCCCAGGGGAGGATCCTGAAGAAGGATGGCCAGCTCTAGTTCTCAAGACATGGTCTGTGTAAGTTGACCTTTGTCTCTTTACATAGGGTGACTTTCAGGTTAGGTGAGTGTTTGCTGTCTTCCTCTTGTGAAGCTTCCCAAGGACCTGAAATCCCCCAGCCCAGTCTGCCCCATTACAGTGAGGGTTGGAAGACCAGAGCACTTCTGTCTGGGGCTCTTTCCTGCTGGTTCTGGAGTTTTCTTTGAATGCATCCGTGCATATCTGCTTTCTGCTTGGTCTGTGGTCAGGGAGGACTGTCGTTGCAGAGGAGGTGACAGTCCACAGGGAAGCGGGGTCTTTGGGGGTTTCAGACCGTTGAGGTGATGGTCTCCTTTGACTGCACTGGGAATCCTGATCGACATCTTCGGTGTTTTCAGGCTGATGACACAGGGTTTGAGAGTGAATGGCCTTGGTGCATGTGTGTGATGAGATGACCTGCTTGAGGGGCTTTAAGAGAGTTCAGTGATGAGAGGGAAAGGTCATCCAGGCTGTGATTGGGAGGGGACTGTCGTCTCCAGAGTCCAGGAAGACCTGAGACACACTGTTCACCTTGAAAGCTTTTGTTAATATGCCAGTAATATGAACCCTTACATAGTTTACAGACTCTTACATAGTTGCAAAAATCATTATTGTGACAAAAAAAAAAATCTTACTGATATCATCTGATACCATAATAAACTCAAGGACTCACACTATTTCTTAGGTAGTTTACACTGAACCCGGGTGACATTTCTCTCTTCTGGTCTGTAACTTGAAGGGTGTGATTGGAATGGAAATGCACATTTATTAGATGTGTAGGGTGCGTACTGTCATCCTTTACTGGGGGAGCTTCTGCAGTCAGGTACTTTGAACATTTCCATATCTTCTTCCTGTTCTTGAGTCCTTTCACTTCTGATTTTCCATCTTGAATGCTTCCCCAATTTCACTCTACTTGTGTTTGTGGTTTCAGGGGTCAGTGACATTCAGAGATGTGGCTGTTGACTTCTCTCAGGAGGAGTGGGCCTGCCTGGATGCTACTCAGAGGGTCTTATACAGGGACATGATGTTGGAGACCTACAGCAACCTCGTCACAGTGGGTAAGGCCATCTGTCCCCGTGAAAGGGGGATATGCTCTCTACACTGTTGGCTTTCCTCACTCTGAATGAAAAGACAGGGCCATTTTTCTGTGGTAGCTGAAGCTGGGCTTGGTGGCCCCTGTCTGTCATTCCTTTACTCAGAAGGCTGAAGCAGGATGATTGCTGTGAGTTCTAAGTCACCTTCAGATACATAGTGAGTTCCAGACTAGCCTAGTGTACAGAGTAAGGCCTTGTTTCAAACAAAACAAAGAAACGAAATAAATAGATAGATACATAAATACATACATACATACATACACCTTGTTTCAAACAAAACAAAGAAACGAAATAAATA